TAGAAATAAGGTCTATTAGTGGAGATGGGGACGCTAATGGAATGAATGGAGTTGGATATTGTTATAGAAATGAAATTGATGGTGAAAATATGGCTTTCTACTAATCAGAAATCTGGTATTTATAATAAATAAATAAAGCTTAAAAGATATCAGAAAATTTGTAGCACTTCTTATCCCGGGTCCTTTATCATTTTAGATTCTATAGTATACAGGTATACCCGGATCTTTTATCTTAACAAAATCTCAACCTATATTGTAGACCCGGGGATGATACATGGTGGGTCTACTATCACGGGGGTCTTTTATATGGCCGTTTACGGTAATAGGATTCTAAATCATAATTCTAACAAAAAATTATACTATATTTTACAAAATTGAATCAAAATTTAAAAAAAATTCTTATTTACTAAACCATAATTTGGATCAACCGGTCCAAAAATTTTCATAATTCGGGCCAGAATTTTTAGCATAATCTATTTTTATAATCTTTCACAATTATTATATATTATCTAAAAGCTAAAAAGTTCAAAATTTAGTACTTGATTCAGATTTTTTTTTTTTTTAACAGTTGGTTTAGAACTTATTAAAGTTAATAAAAAATAAATTTTCTAATTTAAGCCAATCTCAGTTTAAATTATCACAATTCTTTACACTGTCTTGTATATAGAGTTATTAAATATTACTGGTAAAAATCACCATTCAACGGTCATTCGCATGCCATTTGACTAACGATTTGACCAACATTAGGCATAAATTAGCAAATATTCGAAAATTTTGGTCAAATTTGTGTCAATCGTTAGTCAAATAGCGTGCCGAATGACTGCCGGATAGTGTCATTCGACACGTCTAATTTTTTGATTTTTACTTGAGATACCGTAAAGCACTATTAGTAATAAGTACATCAGGAAATTTTTAAATAAGGTGCATATCGATTACCATCTGCAGGGGTAATTGATATCGATTTATATCGATTATAATCAAATCTAAATGATTGCTAATCGATTGCAATCATTTAAATTTGAATGATTACAATCGATTATAATCGATATAAATCAATGCCAATTAACCCTGCAGATAGTAATCGATATGCACCTTATTCTTCAAAATAATATATTGAAAAGATGGTGGGATAAATATGTTAGAGACTCGTGTTACTGATCATTTCTATCACATTTTTTTGTCTTCATTTATTTTCGGGAAATAACAAATAAAGCCTGAGGCGATAACTAATGAGAAAAAAAGAAGTCTATGATAGAAATTGTGATTAAAAACACGTAAATCCCGTCATGAGATCGTAATAAGTGATAACCTGAAGTATTCCAGGTTATCATTATTATCGTACTCTACCGTAAATAAGCAATATTCCCTCTACTCCATTTTTTTAAATGTCAGATTAGCGGAAATCGTAATTAGATCTTTAGCCAAGTTATTCCCACTAATTTGACATTTAAAAAATGGGATAGAGAGGATGATGCTTATTAAGGTAGAATACGGTAAGAATGCACTATTTGCAAAGATATACTGTATTGGTATAGCCAAAAGGAATCTGTAAGCCTGAATGTGCAATAAGCGTGGAAAAATTTTGTGGAAGTACAAATAATGACCAGAGAACACGTAAATAGTATGTATTCAACCCGGTTTGACTCTTGTTGTAAATTTTTGATCCGAGCAAACCATTTGACACGGGTGATCCTGTTACTATAACCCAGTTCTAAACTCGACCATATCAAACTTATATTGTTAAGTAAATTAACCATTTTGTACAAAGTAAACGTGTTCTCAATGATACCTTAGATCTTTTTTTTTATTTTTGACATTTAAATAAAAGATATAATGGATTATAAAAGTTTATCAGTTCTTTGTGATGATTGTAAAGTACCATTTGAAAAAGTCTACGTATATATATATATATACTGTATATATGTATGTATGTATGTATATAGTATGTAATAGCTGGTTCGCTTAGTAAAAATCCACATGTTATGTGTAGCGAATAAAACAGAGTTTGCCAATGATCAAAATCACCATTTTTTTTTTTTTTTTTGGATATTGATCCATTGGTTCGTTTTGGATGATTTGACTACCAAAATGACCGCCTCGATGAGACGATTCTAACGAACCTAAAATCATTAAAATCCAATCACGGGATCCCGAGATAGTCAAGGATTTGTGTCATTTTGGATGTTTTAGGATTGGTTAAACCAATCTTTAAACACCTGAAGTGATACGAATTCCAAATTCCGTGATTGAATTCTAACGATTTTAGGCTCATTAGAATCGTTTTATCGAGGCGGTCATAATCATCCAAAGCGGATCAGTGGATCAAAAGCTATTCACTGTCAAAAATTTTGGAATTAATTCCAAATATGCGCGGATATGCTTTTTTACTATATTAAAAGGTTATGATCAAATAACCTACTAACCTATGATAGGTCGTAAAGGTTATATAGGTCATTTAAGATCATCGACCAGCACTGGAATAAAATGTCGATTTTTTTGGATTCTTGTCCAAATTTGGTTTAATTCTGGTCAAATTTGCAGATCATATTAGTTTTAAAACTCACCCCACAGGCCAAATGATCTGCAAATTTGACCAGAATTAAACCAAATTTGGCAATTTTGAAGGGCTATGATCGACAAGGATCGACAAAAATCGCATCGACCATATGATGCGGTTTCATGTACATTATCATGTGATTTGTATGTGTCCGTAGAATGTTCGGCCTTTTGGAATTCTTGTTTTACAATTGTAAATTTCAATTGTAAGGAAAATTTGTGAAACCCACATAATAAATAGAAATATTATAAGACATATACGTGATAAACAAGCTAAACCCGAAATGGGAAACACGAGTGGGTGTTGGTCAAACAGATGATCAGATTGTTATGATTGTGTGCAAAGTTTGCGAACGAAAAAGTAAATTTTCATGAAATTTGGTCACGGCCGAAAATAGTATCGGTATTGCACCTAATACAAACACTTAATTTTATCATTCAACCCGACTTATAATTGCCTAGTAAAAAAGAAACGTTGAAAAAAAAACGACAAAATAAAAACTATATCGAACATTATAATTATACTATTTATTTTTAAGATCATTTTAATATAACAAACCATTCTACTTTTTTTATTTCGATAAAATTTAAATCATGGCTGCCGCTGTTGAACAGCAACAGCCCTCTCGTCTTACTCCACCTTTGTCACCATTGTCACCACCTCCTTCTTCGCCAGCCACCATTCGATCGCCTTCTCCGATAGAGTTTGATGCGTTTCCACTTGTTAATGAAAACCCTCCTATCAGAGCGTTAACTGCTTCGCAATATTATCTCATTCATGAAACGTATTATACTACCCCATTACCTAATGATTTGTTTCCGTGGCTGCATGGCATTGATGGTACAAATCCTATGCAGAATAGCTTCTTTGGCCTTAGAATTCAAGAGGAGTGTCCAGTACCAAGACATCGTGGTCTCACTGTAGTGCAAGCAGAAGAAATGTTAAGATCCAAACTTGTAGGTTCTGTTATGCCAACTGATATATTAGATTATGGAGATCCTGAAGATCCTGACAACAATTATTCTACAAGAAGCTTTTTAAAAATAATGGATGCTGAAGGAATTAATTTAAGGAATTTTAAGATTCAAGTAGCGAAATATGCTACGATTTCAGACATTATTGTATATGGAGAGAATGGTTTGAACGAAAATGTATTAAATATCGCTAAACAAATGGCATGGGCACAACAGAATTTTAGAGAAGAAAACCCAAATATGTTGGAATATGAAGTATTCGTGATAGTTGGTATGATTAATTTAATTACTCATTAAACACAGGTAGAACGATGAATATTTTCTGCAAGTATTCTTTAATAAACCTTTGGTGTGCTATACGGATTTTCCAAATATTTTCTACGTTATCTAAATCTTTTTTGCTCTTTTTTCATATGTAATTTAAAATTGTTAGAAAACATTTAGAAAGTATTTAGAAAATTTTTATAACACACCAAAGGTTTTTGAAAGAATACTTAGAGAAGAGAATTAATATTTTACCCGTGTAACGATCTGTATCATTTTATTCATCATAATTTTTAAATGGATTAAGAAATGATATGACATCATTAATAATTGGTAATGATCATTATCTAGAGCCATTTTCCTTATTTGAAGAAGAATATCCGGAACTTGTCGCCGTCGATAGTCAAGGCATTATACATAATAAAATCGATTTTTCGGAACAAGAAAGAGAGGAAATGCGAATACTCACTTCGGCTTCAGAAATTTCAACGAATGTTTGGGTAAATTATCAATATAACTATATTTTTTTTGTTAGATTAAAAATAAAAAAGTTCATACAATTCATATAGTCCATAGTGTAATTGGTGTAATTTTTTATTGATTAACTTTATGTAGTTGGGTAATACACAAGATGTTCCCGTCTCTAATGGATTGGACCCGTTAAATCCAGCTGATTCTGCCATTTCATTGATTGATGATAACCCGCATCAATTCTATGTCTGCATAGAATCACATGATATTGCCGAAATACCAGATAAAGACACTCTTTGCTTCATTACTGAGCAATTGGCACAAACATCTCAATCAAGGATACCTATTGATGATATTGTTCATCTTGATTGCATATCTACTGGTCTTGGATTTAATACTCCGGATGTTTTTGATTTTGCAATCGCAAGATTATTAGATCTCTGTGAATTCATTTCGGATCAAGCAAATAATTTTGGTCACAAAATTTTGATTTATTGCACGGATGGTTACACAGAAACCTCCCTTTTTGCTCTCACGTATCTCATGTTACACGAAAATTTGAGTCTTCCACAAGCGTATTTAAAACTTCAAAAGATTCGTAGTTTTTTTGTATATCCACATGATGTGGATACATTAACAAGAATTGAGAAGTGTATATTTGAAAGAAAAGGGATTAGTGAAGATGAAACATCAAGACAAGAGGAATTTCCATGGTTCTATTCTAATGTATTTTTTGAAGGAAGTTTTCCGAGCCGAATTTTACCATTTTTATATTTGGGCAATTTAAATCATGCTTGTAATGCAAGTATGTTAAAATCTCTTGGAATAACTCATGTTTTATCCGTTGGAGAAGATTCCAGACTAGATAATAAGGATTTTGAAGTACAATACTTGAATAATTTATTTGATGATGGAATAGATAGTCTTTGGAATCATTTAGATTCTTGCGTTAATTTTATTGGTATGTATTTAAACGCACAAAAACTCTTGTGTTTGATTGTATTTGATTGTATTTGATTGTATTTGATTGTATTTGATTGTATTTGATTGTATTTGATTGTATTTGATTGTATTTGATTGTATTTGATAACTAATTTTCAAATAATTTCCAAATAATTTCATTTATAGAAAGAGCTCGTATTTTAAATGGTAAAATTCTTATTCATTGTCGTGTAGGAGTTTCTCGTTCCGCTACCATCACAATTGCATATATCATGCGACATCTGGGTTATTCCCTTATTTCTTCTTACCTTTTTGTTCGTGCTAGACGTCTCAATGTAATAATTCAACCTAATCTTAAGTTTATGTATGAACTTTTACAATATGAACAAAAATTAACTGGAAGGATGGGAATTAGCTGGCCATTGTTAGCTAAAAATATTCACACTTTAAATATGTGCTATGTTGGTTCTTGAAACCTTTTTTTTGAGGACAAAAATAAATTGTACAAAGTTAACATTAAACTATTACACTATTACATATGAAATATATGTATAGATAAATTTTATACGTATTTTGTATTTGTATCTTATATTTTGTACCCGTTTTTTTTTTTTTTTTTGTTCTGGGGTTTAAAAAAAATTGGGTTTATTTTATATCGATCGCGTACGTATACGAATTTAACGTTAATAATATTAATTTTTTAATAAAGAATTTCACATGACTAAATAATATATATATACTCTTTAACGTGCTAAATCTTGATTAACGTTAGCGTTAGTAGTAATTATAATACCGAGAACAGTAAATCATGAAATTCCATTTAATTGATCAAAAGAAAAAAAAAAACAATTAGAAAAGACGAAAAGATTTGAATTTATTTTGAGCAAAAAAATATCCAAACCGAAATTTGAATATTATTTTTTTTTTAACTTATCTTTATTTTTTTAAAAATTCGAAAACTAATCAATTTTCGAATAAACTTAGGTGGAAAAAAATTATTTTTTGATATATATGTACACGCGTGTTCAAAGAAAGGTCTCATTTTTAAAAAAAATGTTACAACCAACCTCAAACCTACATGCAACTTAAAATCATTAAAGAACTGTTCACTCCCATTTTATTTAATGAGAAAAAAAAACGAACTAAAAATTTTTTTTTTCCTACTAACAATTGGAACAGCAAAGAGCGCCAGATAAAGGAACTTTTTTTTGGTTTTTTTCTTTTTTTTGTATATATATATATATTTTTTTTTTTTTTTTTTTTTTTTTTAATCTTGGTCCGCTCAATTGCATTTACATAAATATTCAAAACTTTTTTTTTTTGGTTTTTTTTTTTTTTAAACAAAATTCGTGCAAAAAGAGTAGGGAATAGTAAAGGGGGGGGATTAAAGAATGAAAATATAGTACACCAAAATTGAGCAACATTGTGTACAATAGATTAATGCAAAAAAAAAAGAATGAATTCCTCCGTTGATACAAAAATGCCAAATCTTAATTTTTCATTAATCTCCCAAACAAAACTGAACAAAAAAAAAAATCATTTATGCCTTCTTGCAAACTTTTTACTACTCGAAAATACCAAGCACTACACCCCAACATATCAAAAATGGTGAAACAAAGAACCGCCACCAATTGTTTGCCTTTTTGTTTTACAAAGAAAAAAGTGTCATAAAGATTACTTTTGGAGAAAATATAGAACCCAACATAATAATTAGTCCCCAGTCTAATAATACTAATAAAAAAAAAAAAGAAAAAGAAAAATAACACAGTGTTTCACAATTCCAAAACATATAACAGAATTGGGAAGTTGCCATGTATTTTGAAAGAATGAAAAAAAAA